AAAGCTACGAAGGAGGAGTGCCTGCCAGTCTGTCGGTACAGCTTTACCACAAAATCACAGCAACTGACAGAAAGTGAGTGGGCCCCAAGGCAAGCGTAGCTTAGAACTTTCATGTATTAAACCAGGGAAGGGGCAGCTCGGGGAGGGGGCTAGAGTTCAACCCAGCTGGACGGCTGTTTGGGAAAAGCTTTTTCTCACTGTAATCCCAGGTCCTTGCACAGGCAGACCTCAGGCTAGGAACACCCTGCCTTGTCTGGAATGGCTTGAGGCCCAGCCAGTGCCCAGGAGGGGTGGGGAGAGGCTTGGGGAAGAAAGCAGGGCTCCCACAGCTCTGCTAGGTCTGGCAAGTGGACCACTCTGCACACACCTCTCTGGGTCCCTGGGGAACAGAGCCCCCTGGTCAGCCATGTCTCAGACCGACAACCTAGGGCTGTGCCAGCATTGCACTGAAGGCATGGATCAGGCACCCAGCACGCGGCCTGTCACCTATCAAAACTCAGAGGTTGCGAGAACACCAACTGCGGCATGGTGACGGTGGTACAGGGGTCACAAGTACGAACCCCACAGCCAGCCTGGCGGGCTCACATCCGGGCTCCTGGAATCCTGGGGAAGAAACCTGGGTGTGCTCACGTCTGAGCCAGCAGTGTGAGAGCACCACCCTCCCCCGGTCTGTTAGGAGGTCCGGCGAGTCCATCGGTGTGCAGGCCCTGGCTGCCCAGCTGCCGGCCACACCATCACGAGGAGCGTGCACTCCGAGCTCCTGACCCAGACTTTGCTTCTTAGCACCCAGATGTCCAAGCCTGTGAGAGTCCCTGGTCTGTGAACTCGTTCTTTCTCAGTGAAGGAAATTCATTAAACACAGACTTGAATGCAATTTAATTTTTCCACCTCCATAAATCCTTTGGTTTATTTAAGCTAACAAAGAGGACGAGGAACGGAACTTTGTCAGAAGTCAGAATCCCATGTCCCAGGTTTTGCCATGGTTGCCAAAGCGAGACAGGAAGGGACTGGGACAAGAGGCAGTCCAACACCTACAATAAAACAGTAAAACCTGACAAGACAGGAGGTGACCAAGAGACCAGTCGGAACTGCTCGAACCAAGATGGAATCTGAAAGGACCCCTCCCTGACCTTCGAACTCAATATACTCTAATTTTATCGCATTAGCCATAGATGACACACCCACCCATGCCTAACAATCTACAATTACCATGGAAACACTCAGAACTGCCATACAAGGCCAGAAAATGGGAGGGACAATGGTTCAAGGGGAAGTCATGGATAAACCACCTCTTGCTTACCCTGGCATTAAGCCACGCTATAGAAGCCAAATACCCACCAAAGTCCAGAGCTGCCCTGCCCATGGGGTAACCTATCTTACCTGTTTAAGGTTTTGACCAAGCAGCACAAGCGCTTGCCAGAGAGAAAGAGAGAGAGGGGCAAGGTAAGAAGTCAGTCCTCAGGCAGACGGCCACATCACGACCCCTTCTCAGGATCTGGGGCATGCACGCACACACACCCGGCATGATTTCCAAGCTGCTGGGTGGGGCTCGAACTGCAGTAGGCCACGTGAGAGTCCAATGCCTTAATGCCTGTACAGCTAGGTATGGTCACCAGCTGGCCCTCTGGCCCTCCTAACTGTTACCTGGGTAACAGTTCTCCCCTTTCTCTTGAGGACTGCAGCCAGGGAAATGGAGGGTGGCAGAGGCCAGTCCTGGGCTTACTGCCTGATCGTATCCACCCGGGGGGAATGTCACCCATCTTCCCCCACAGGCTGCTCCACCCAAGGAGTAATCTGCTCTGTACACTTTCCTTAATAAACTTGCTTTCACGCTCTCTCTCCAAGGCTCACTCTCAAATTCTTTCCTGTGCAAAGCCAAGGACCCTGCCACCTCCCAGATGGAGAGCCACAGGGGCTGAGGGAGACTCAGCACAGCCAAGAGAGAGCAGACAGGCTATAAATGTCCTCAGCCCTTTGCGCGCCCAAGGAGTAATCTGCTCTGTACACTTTCCTTAATAAACTTGCTTTCACGCTCTCTCTCCAAGGCTCACTCTCAAATTCTTTCCTGTGCAAAGCCAAGGACCCTGCCACCTCCCAGATGGAGAGCCACAGGGGCTGAGGGAGACTCAGCACAGCCAAGAGAGAGCAGACAGGCTATAAATGTCCTCAGCCCTTTGCGCGCCCTGGGAGGAGTCTCCCCAGTAACAGAAGCCAGCACAGCCAAGAGAGAGCAGACGGGCTATAAATGTCCTCAGCCCTTTGCGCGCCCTGGGAGGAGCAGCATAAAACAAAGCAGTCAGGCAAGGCTACCCAACGAAGGGTGGCGAAAGCTCCCAACCGCGTTCATGCAGCCTGAGTAAAACTCAAGCCAGCACTACACATGAAGAGAGAGAAAGACACACACCGTCTTGTAAGCTTCTGGGCTTTCTGGAGTGCCTGACGCAGCGTCGCAGGCTGGCCCTGGTGTCCTGACCTTGGGGACCACTGTGCATGAAGCAGATGGGGCTGGTTAATGGACGCGCTGCAGGGAGCGGGCACTTCTGCATTTGGTCCGGCAAGTGGGGTTGGTTAATGGACGCGCTGCAGGGAGCGGGCACTTCTGCATTCGGTCCAGCAAGTGGGGTTGGTTAATGGGGCGCGCTCTGCAGGGAGCGGGCACTTCTGCATTCAGTCTGGTAAGTTCGTACAATGGGAATGCAAAGGGATCCAAAACCAGTGCCAACTCTCCCCAGCCACCACATGATGACGACGGGGGAAGACCCCAGGACAAACCGTTTATTTAAGAACCAGGTTCAATTTCAGAGTAACCTTCCTGACCAAGTGAAGTTTTTCATATTGGCAACCCTAACTCTTTTCGGGAGTTTTTCAAATTCCTTTTTTTTTTTTTTAAAGATATTTTTGCTACAGAGCATGTGCA